GTCTACATTTTCAGACACTATTTGGAACGAACTGTGAACACCCCGACTATTTGGAACGAACTGTNAATGTAGACGCGTAAAAAACATACCTTTGAGTGTGACAAAATGTAGACGGCGTCGTTTTCCAATTTTGTATGGGAAACAACAACACCACAGATTTTACGGTTAGAAAACGTCTTAAAATGTAGACGTCTACATTTTCAGACACTATTTGGAACGAACTGTGAACACCCCGACTATTTGGAACGAACTGTGAACACCCCAAAAGTGTTGCCAGTAACTTAACCTCACTATTTCGGCAGGTCTATTCCGGTCACGCATTTTAAAGTTTTGAAAAGATGCTAATTATTTACTACTTTTAATCCGTTTGCGCATGCTATTTAAAATTAAATGTAGAAAAATGTATAATTACAGGCTTATAAGCCTGAATATATGTTTGCATCGTCAGCTCCACACAGCTTGGACATATATTGTAACTTATAAAAAAGTATTTTTTTATTTTTTATATTTTTTATTTGATTTTATGAAAGCTTAAATAATAATAAAATTATTAAATAAACTAAAAAGAAACGCAGCGCTAGCAACGGAGGCTTTCGGCTGGCTGGTGAAGATTGGCTGGTTTGAATACGCCGGAGAAGATCGGAATCCTTCAGAAATTTATAGATTTTGGAAATATTAGAATCAGAAGGATTAATTACTGGTGATATCGGATCATAGTTTTCAAAATGCTGGTGTTTTTGTAGAACTAGTCCAGGGCAAAAGGCTAATAAATGCACTATGCTGACTTGAGAATTACAAAAAGGGCACAGGCTTTGATGTCTCCCTTGCAGTAGGTGTGCATTCGTTATTATACTGTGTCCAATGCGTAGGCGAGTGTAGGGAGTAGCATGAACCAACGACTACAGATCACCTAATCAGCCATCGTTGTATTTGTAATCGATTTTCAGAAAAAAGTTTTCGTAGCGTTTTTGACGTTTTTCGGTTTTGTTTACACCGTCTTCTACCTCTTCGTAGTGATTTTTTAGAGATTGAATGTGTTTTCTGCAGCGATTTTATGATATTATTTATGATATAAAATAAAGTGCTGTGTGATCGGAACAAGTTTGTGCGTATGTTTGGTTTGCCAAAAGGCGTAAATTTGCGTGAAAAGTGGGTGCACGTTTGTGGCCAGAACGTTGGCATTAAAAAATCGATCCGTGGTAATGATATGCGATTGTAAAACACTTTCAATCATGAAAACCATATTTTATGAACTTTTTTTGCTAATTGTCATCAAGTTTCACTTTGTATATTTTATAATAAATACCAATTTAATCGCACTCAATCACCGCGCCTTTTTCGTTTTCTTTGTTTGTTTTCATTCTTAGGCAGATGTCAAAAACACTCAGAAATATACTTTTTTCTTGCTTCTTTGATTAGGTGATCTTGTATTTTTGGTTCATGTAGGGAGTAGTATAGTTAGATAGAAGTGATGCAAGGTAGCTGGGTTTAGTGCGACTAGGATTAATTCTCGAGTAGTGATGACTATAGTGAGCCCAGTCAGATATTAGTTTGCTTTGCCTCTGCTGCTCTATCAATCTATAAATATCACTTTTACAGATGATATTTGAAGTGATGGTAGGAGTAATGCTCATATCTTTGGCAGTAATATCAGCGAATGTATTGCCGTTAATGCATGAATGGCCTGGCACCCACATAATTCTGATTTTATTGGGATGCGAAATCAGGATATTTCTTATGCTTTTGATAATGTGATTGGAGTTATTATAGTTTTTTAAGGCCTGAAAACAGGACATGCTGTCTGTGCATATGGTGAATTTTCCCCTGGATTTTGACGCATACTGCATGGCATAGAGAACTCCTGTTGCTTCGGCGGTGAAAATTGAGCAAAATGGAAGTAAAAGCCCGTACGGTATAGGTTCACCATTTTCTTTTACGACAGCGAAGGAAGTGTAATTCGCTTTGGACCCGANCAAAATGGAAGTAAAAGCCCGTACGATATAGGTTCACCATTTTCTTTTACGACAGCGAAGGAAGTGTAATTCGCTTTGGAACCGTCAGTGTAGATAAGCTGCCAACTAGAATTCTTGAGACGCGATGCAATTTCCAAGAAACGAGCGCTGTACTCTGCCGATGTCGTATTGGATTTTTTCAGGTAACTTAAATCGTTTACAAAGCTTGCTTTTTTCAGCGCCCATGGCGGATGATGGTCAAATCTCGGCGAAGTTATTCTTAGGGGGAGTCCATAGTCTTTAGCAAAGGTGGCGCATTTGCTAATTGACGAAATTATTTTGGGTGATCTTGTACGGAAAAATGACGAATGAAAATCTTTTTTCAGGAAAGTGTTGGTGGTGAGAGCAAGCTTAGGATAAAGTTTCCTTATCTTGCCTTCAACGTTGTCGGCTAGCGACGGTAAACCAGATTCAGCCAGGATGTTCTGTATTGGTGAAGTAGGAAAAGCGCGTATGGATCGTCGGACCGCAGTATGGTAGGCTAGCAGATTGAGGTTTTTTTTAGCATGTTGGCCATATATTTCTAACCCATAGTTGATAGAGGATAAGATGAGCGCCTTTGTAACATTGACCAGCAATTCCGAGTTGATAAGCGAGCGTTTGCAAGACAAGTATTTAACAATATTTAACTTAATGAATAATCTTTCTCTGACGTATTTACAGTGGGGTTTAAAGGAATACTTAGAGTCTAATACTAAACCTAGAAACCTATGACTATCTGTACAAGTAATAGTTATATTGTTAAATGTGAGTGTAGGTATATTACAGTTTTGTTTCTTACAAATATGTATTAGTTTAGTTCTGCTGGGAGAAGTTGAAGCGCCTGAAGATAGGGACCATGAAGAAATGTGAGATATCTGAAAAGGTTGCCATTACGGCAATTAGATTAGAAGTTTTAGAAAACAGCAGTACATCATCCGCATACATTTGATGGGAAACGTTGGGAAACTGTGAAAAAATGGAACTAAGTTCATCGAATGCTATAGTGAAGAGAATAACGGATAGAGGTGATCCCTGCGGGGTGCCATTATCAAGAGGAAACATAGGGGATCGGACGTTAGAAATAAGAACACTAATTTTACGAGAGGACAGGAAAGATTTGATAAAGTTGAAAATTTTAGGCCCGACCTTCCACTTGTCCAGCTGCCTCAAAACAACCTGTATACCTATCCGATCGAAAGCCTTGGCAAAATCCAAAGAGAGGAGTGAAATATGATTTTTTTTTGATAAGGCTACGGAAACGAAGTGATCGAAGTGTAAGAGGGCATCAACCGTACCCTGCCCCCTCTTGAATGCGACTTGGTTATGGTGAATGAGATTATTTACATGCACATAACATGATAGTCTACTAGCAATGATTTTTTCCAATAATTTGCCTAAGCAGGGAAGAAGGGAAATAGGATGGTAGCTGCTAGCCTCACTTTGAGGTTTGCCAGGTTTTAGGATAGGAATGATGGAACTAGTCTTCCAAAGGATGGGATAATTACCAGTCGAAAAGATGTTGTTGTAATGTTTAAGGAGGCGGGATAGAAGCGATAAAGGAAGATGTTTTATAATAGGATAGGATATTTTATCAAAACCAGGTGTACTACTTTTAACTGTTAAGAGAGCGAACTGAAGTTCCTGTAGGGATAAATCGGCATCCACCTGCTTGGAGGAAGAAGATAAGCTTAAAGAAATGGGATGCCTAGAATGCAGTTGGGAAAGTTTGCAAGCAGAAAATTCGGGGGGAAAGCTAGAATCAGAGGAGGCGTTGGAGAAGTGGGTGGCTAACTCTAAGGCTATATCATGGGGATATAGTATGTTGCCTTGAGATGAATTAAGGGAAGTGATAGGGGAGTGGGTAGGAGTNTGCCTCAAAACAACCTGTATACCTATCCGATCGAAAGCCTTGGCAAAATCCAAAGAGAGGAGTGAAATATGATTTTTTTTTGATAAGGCTACGGAAACGAAGTGATCGAAGTGTAAGAGGGCATCAACCGTACCCTGCCCCCTCTTGAATGCGACTTGGTTATGGTGAATGAGATTATTTACATGCACATAACATGATAGTCTACTAGCAATGATTTTTTCCAATAATTTGCCTAAGCAGGGAAGAAGGGAAATAGGATGGTAGCTGCTAGCCTCACTTTGAGGTTTGCCAGGTTTTAGGATAGGAATGATGGAACTAGTCTTCCAAAGGATGGGATAATTACCAGTCGAAAAGATGTTGTTGTAATGTTTAAGGAGGCGGGATAGAAGCGATAAAGGAAGATGTTTTATAATAGGATAGGATATTTTATCAAAACCAGGTGTACTACTTTTAACTGTTAAGAGAGCGAACTGAAGTTCCTGTAGGGATAAATCGGCATCCACCTGCTTGGAGGAAGAAGATAAGCTTAAAGAAATGGGATGCCTAGAATGCAGTTGGGAAAGTTTGCAAGCAGAAAATTCGGGGGGAAAGCTAGAATCAGAGGAGGCGTTGGAGAAGTGGGTGGCTAACTCTAAGGCTATATCATGGGGATATAGTATGTTGCCTTGAGATGAATTAAGGGAAGTGATAGGGGAGTGGGTAGGAGATCCAGTAAGCCTTTTAATGTCAGCCCATATCTTTTTGGTGTCGGATGAAGCAGAAATACTGCTGGTAAACTTTTGGAAGCTGCGGATTTTAGCATTTTTAGCACTTCGTCGAAAAAGTGCATTGCATTTTTTGTACAGGATAAGATTTGATTGGGTCCGATTGCGCTTAAAGTCATGCCAGGCGTTCTGCTTCTTATCTCTTAATGCTGAAAGCTCTGTGCTCCACCATAAAGGAGAAGGCCTGAAAGGTTTAGCTTTGGATAGAGGGATGGATCGGTTTGCTGAAGAACGAATAACTTTATGGATATTGGAAGTTTCCTGGTTGGTGTTAGATGAAATAGGGAAGGAGCAGGAGAAAGTTTCGCAGGCGACCTCAAATTTGCACCAGTCTGATCGATCAGTTTTGAAATAGATCCTGGGTTTGAAAATAGTTTGGGAACGGGAAAATGGGATATTGGAGAGGATAGGAAAATGGTCACTGCCATGAAGATCGTCAATGAGGTGCCACGACACTTTGGAAGATAGGGATGCGGAACACAGGGTAAGGTCAATATGTGTAAAGGGTGAATGGGTAGAAAAATGGGTGGGCGACCCATAGTTTAGGACAATTTTCCGACCTTTAGAGTTTGTGGAAACGGACCCCCAGAGGGAANCCACGACACTTTGGAAGATAGGGATGCGGAACACAGGGTAAGGTCAATATGTGTAAAGGGTGAATGGGTAGAAAAATGGGTGGGCGACCCATAGTTTAGGATAACTGCGTTGGAAACTAGGATGGAGTCTTCAATTTTCCGACCTTTAGAGTTTGTGGAAACGGACCCCCAGAGGGAATTCCACGCGTTAAAGTCGCCGGCCACTATAAAAGGGTATGAAGAAGTAGGAATTATGTTATTGAAATCTATTTTAGAGATCAATTGATCAGGAGGAGAATAACCGCACACTATTGTAATTTTGTTGAAAGTTTGTAGCTCAATGGCAAGGGAGGAAATATTAGATAGAAATTGGGGTCTAGGGGAGGGGGGGTTGGGATGGATATTTCCATATCTGAAGGGGGGTGAGAGGGGGATAAACCGGAAACAGACAGAGGGGAGAAGGGAGGAGCGAGAGGAGAGTCAGGAAGAGATTGGGTGGTAAGAGGGGAGATTGTATTTGAAGTAATAGTTTTATTTTTAATATTGATATTTGCGAGTTTTTCTATACTAGCAAAAGAAGTGGGGTTAGGAGTAGTTGGTAGTTGTTCATTATATTTTTTGACTGCATCGCGCATACTGCATTTATTTATAGTTTTAATTTTAAGTATTTCTTTAGTTTGCTGAAATTTAGGGCCAGAGTTTGAGAAAGAGGGATGATCTGTTAGGCAGTTGGCGCACATAATTCTGGTGCATTCGGAGGGAGAATGGGGGGGAGGTTGCACGTGGCACAAATAGAGTTGCGGCAATTTTTTGCGGTGTGGCCAAGAATCTGACAAACCTTGCAACGCATGGGGTTTGGATAATACGGACGGACGGATAAAGTTCTCCAAGCAACTTCAATTTTGTCTGGGAGGTGGTATTTATCAAAAGTTAGTAGAATGGCACCAGTATATTTGCGGGATCCATCGCTGATCTTGGAGAATTTGAACGCGGATTTAACGCCATTTTCCTTAAGTCCTTCCACAATCTCCTCTTCAGGCAAGTGACAGATGAAAGGAGCATATGTTGTTCCTTTGCCGGAGTTGAGAGATTCATGCAATTTGACTGTAACATCTGTAACACCAGGCAACGATTTGGCAGCTAGGAATTTGTCGGCGATATTTTTGTTTTTAACGAGTAACAGCATAGAACCATCGCGAAGCTCAGTGATGTTGTTGACTTCTTTGCTTATTGCTTGAATACCTTTGTAGATAGCAAAACAGGATAGATTTGATAGGGGTTTCTTTTCATCCAGGGCTTTTATAACCAAGAACCTGGGGTCATCATTTTTGGCGATTGGAAGTTCCGTAAATAAATAGATTTTTTGCGTTTGGGTTTAGGTGACGGAGACAAGAGGGCGTACCTATTGTTCCCGAATTTAGTGGCCCCGGGGGCCATGGCAAAAAAACCAGAATTAGTTTCACTAATATGCAAGTGTGTGGTTAAAAGTTAAAACAAGCGACCGAAAATAACAGGAAAAAATAACTGTTCAAAGGCGACCCTTGATTAACCGCAAACAGAGAGAAAGCTTTCAATATCACGGCGGAACGAAAAAAGCGACCGTACGCTGCGCGATTTCGTTGGTGACTCTATAAAAAAGTAAAGGCCGTAAAATAAAGCAATTTCCTATAAGACTGTAAATGATTTTTGAAATAGATTAAAACACATAAATATCGATAATATAAGCGAAATCGTAATTTAACCATACTGCCGCTATATTCTAGTGTATCAGTTGTCCATTTGGCTCGATATTATGACAATGCTGATATTTAATATAAAAAAATCGCCTTTCGTTCGATTTTTGTGTACGTCTTTTTCCATTGATTACCACGATATATTTTATATTTTGAGGCCACAAATTATAGAAATCTAGCAATTTTAAATATTAATATCGTTCTGAAAATACCAAGTTCTTTAAAAATCGCGATAAA